ACAGGCTCTACGTCTTGTGTTTTCTTCTGTACTTATGTGACAGATTACATGTACATAGCCTTCAGGATACTAAGGCCATGTGGACAATTATACTTTGTCTTAGTAGAAATTCGCTCAAAATTATTGCAGGGCCGTGTGACGTACAAATCTTATATTCATCCGTTTTGTAGACATTTCTCCAATTGCCAGACGCGTATTCTTGAAAACCACTAGTTCCTTCCTCCCGGCCGCCTTGTCGAGGTTCATTGTGTAAAAAACTCCAAAGCAATAATATGTTTCCATAGCTTTTTGAAATACGCTAGGGACATGCACCTTTACGAGTCAACCATATTTAGCAGTAATTTCCTGTAATTAAACGCCACGCCCATCCCTTGTAACGAAAACATCGAGAGTTGATATACACGTAAGGGTCATGTGCATATGTTACAGATTACGTGACGTAATGATCGTGTAACATGCAATCCGTAGCGATGGTTTGGCCATGATTAGTTTGCGACATGAAATAGTCCCTGATCCTTGTCGAAATATATATATATTCTTTATTTCACGTAGATTAATGTTTGTGATTTGTTCTATTAACTCCGATCTGCATAAATCGGTAATGCCTATTGTGTTAGGGTCATGCATGGTAAACCAAAATCGATTCATTGATTGTGTTAGGGCCATGGTGACAATGTTGCTAATAATCAGGTGATGATACCTGTTATGTTAGATACTCCACCCCATAATCACTTTGTGAAGCGTCATCCGCCGTCTACAAACGGCATTGATATTCAAAGACCTGCAAAACAGAGGAGGTTTTGATTGACATAGGGCCTAGTAACTGTCAATTCCAATAAGTCCGATCGTACACGACGATTGGTGATGCCTATTGTGTTAGGGCCATGGTGACTATGTTGCTAATAATCAGGTGATAACACCTGTTTATACGTCGAATACACGTATCCATAAACACTTTGTGAAGTGTCGCCTGAGTGTACCGATGAAAACAAATGGATTTATTGATTTTTTTCCAGACCTGCAAAACAAGTAGAGATTTTGATCGACAGTAACTTTCAATGGCAGTATGTCTGATCTATAAACTCTGATCCGCAAATGAAAGATCGGTAATGCATATTGTGTTAGGGCCATGGTGACTATGTTGCTAATAATCAGGTGATGACACCTGTTACGTCGGATACACGTATCCATAAATGCTTTCTGAAGTGTCGCTCGAGTGTACCGAATAAAACAAATGGATTCATTGTTATTATCAGACTTGCCAATCAGCAGGTTTGATCGACAGTAACTTTCAATTGCAGTATGTCCGATCTATAAACTCTGATCCGCAAATGAAAGATCAGCGATGCATATTGTGTTAGGGCCATGGTAATTATGTTGCTAATAATCAGGTGATGACACCTGTTACATCGAATACACGTATCCATAAATGCTTTGCGAAGTGTCGCTCGAGTGTACCGAGTAAAACAAATGGATTCATTATTATTTTCAGATTTGATCGACAGTAACTTTCAATTGCAGTATGTCGGATCTATAAACTCTGATCAGCAAATACAAAATCGGTAATGCATATTGTGTTAGGGCCATGGTAATTTTGTTGCTAATAATCAGGTGATGACACCTGTTATGTCGGATACAACCCATAATCACTTTGTGAAGGGTCATCTTAGTCCACAGAGTAAAACAAAAGGCATTGATGTTTAAGGCCTTCAAATCAAGTGGAGGTTTTGATTGACATATAGTAACTGTCAATTCCAATAAGTCCGATCTATTATCTCTGGCCACAACAATTGGTACTGCCTATGTTAGGGCCATGGTAACTATGTTGCTAACAATCAGATGATGACACCTGTAATTATGTCGGATTCAACCGATAATCACTTTGTGAAGCGTCATCTGAACCTACACAGTAAAATAAAAGACATTGACATTTTAAGACCTGCAAATCAAGTGGAGGTTTTGATTGACATATGTAATTGTCAATTCCAATAAGTCTTCTCTAAACTCTAATCCCCAACGATTGGCAATACCTGTATTTGTGTTAGGGCCATGGTGACAATGTTGGTAATAATCAGGTGATGACACTTGTTACGTCGGGTACACGTACCCATAAACAAGGTTGTGAAGTGTCGCCTGAGTCTACTGAGTATGGATTCATTGATATTTTAAGACCCGCTAAACAAGTGGAGGTTCCTCGGTTTGATGGACATTGAACTTTTCAATCATCCCGTACGTCCAATATATTTACTCTGATATACAAAGATCGGTAATGGCTATTATTATTGTATTGGGGCTATATAGTGACAACTGATATTGAGAGAGGAGTCCCAACCTACGTTTTTCCATTCGCTACTCTCTAATGCGCATTACTGTATTTTCACAGTCCGTATGTATGAGATTTTACAGCCGGTTATATAGGCCTAGTAATCTAGAAGGGGAGACCGAAACTAAGTTTCCCCTTTTCTTTAGTTTTACCCATTACAGTGGCCAGGTAAGGGCCACTAAAATGCCTAGTTAGGCCTAGTTAGCCCTTTTCTTTGGTTGTATCTTTTGTTAAAATGTTCCGGTAAGGATCACATTTCACCTCGTTTCACCACAATACCGGTCACTTATTTGACTCATTCTCTGTACATGTACATAATACTTACTTAACTTAGCTCCGCTAGGTAGACTTAATTTGTTTTTTTTTTGTAAGTCCATTTTCAGCCACTTGCTGTTACATTATGACGACATGCAAGCCTGAGTGTTCCTATCAGATGCGGAGGAACCGGAAGCAGGGAGGAGGAACAATGGATGACTGAGGACCCTGCTTGCTGGGCATCCCATTACTGAATTCTTGGGTATAAACATTAATCATGATAATGTCTTTTCGGAAAGAAAAATGATAGTCTTAATTGGCTCTCCTTGTTGTGACCATGCACAATTACTGAAAAAAAAGCCAAAAATAAGATATCATCTACAAGAAACTTAATTTATATTATTTTTAAAAGAATAATCACTTAACCAGTACCACTTCTACAAATCACTAAAAGAAGAGCAACAGGCGCATAAAATTACCCCACCCGTGTTTCTTATAATCGTCTGACAGACATGAGGGTCCACAACATCGGAGTCATTCTGGACGAAGTTGCAATCGATTCCAACGGAAGGACTGCATGATGACCTGCTTGCAGAGCAAATCTTCACACCAATTCTTGAGGCAAGTAGAAAAAGAGGTTCAGATGTGCATTTTTTTCATTTTCAATTTTTGTCCACGTCTTTGGGCAGTGTTGCCCCATTTTTTTTTACGACACGAGCATCAATCAGATAGTTCGTATGTGGCTTCGATTGTAAAAAGGAATGAATAAATTGGACCATATTGTTTTATCTTTGCAGATTCTTCTGGCTTACTTGATGCAGTTCTTCACCATGCAGTGCTTCAAGACCAAACCGCGGCCGTTTCATGATCAAGACCAAACCCCGGCCCGTGGAACAAAACCAGCCTGTTTCAAGGCTACATTTTTATGGTACCATGTGAGATGCGTCCTCGTCGCGGTGCTGGAAATGCGCAGGGCTTTTTTTTTGCCTTATGCGTAGCCAAATCTCACCCCAGCCTCCCACCCCCCCGAAGAAAGCCAACCAAAAATGATGGCTTTTCAACATAGCCCCATCCAACCCAAAACCTGCCATATGTTTCCGAATCCAACTTGTACCTCTCGCAGATTGGGGACCCTTCTCTATTGTGCAACGTCCCCTGTTGAATGCAGAAACAAACTCAACGGGATCGGGCACGATGTGACTGACAAGGCCGATGCTCACTAACATATTTCACGCACAGAGTGCAAGACTGAAAAGGAATGGCGACATACTAGACATTTATTTGATACTTATAAAGTAAAAACAAACGTAAAAAAAGAAAATAGCATTTCAAAAACCACTACTAACAAGAACGTTTCACTTTTCACAAGTTCAACGTCTTAAATATTTAACACTACAGACATAACAGGGTGACCCAAAAAATGCAACCCTAAAACATTGCCTTTAAAAAAAAGATCGGTGGATTCTTATGTTTAGTATTAGATTAAAGCTGCCAGCTTTTTGTTTCAAATACTGAGAAAAAAATCACGAAAATAGCACATTTGGTTGCTGAGAAAATGTCAATTATGTAAAAGTGGTCATTTTTCATCCTGTACACAAATACTTCAAACATTTTACTATTAGCCTATTGAGCAATTATCCTTCATTTGTGCAATGTCTTTAATATTTTGACATAATTATGATGCTGAAAGGGCATTTCGATCACATTCACTTGTACTTTTGTCATATTATGTGCCGTGTGTTGTTTGTAAGAATAAGGACATGCACAAATAGGTACAGTGACAATCCCTTACTGTGGTAAATTTTTTGTGTACAGGATGAAAAATGACTACTTTTACATAATTGACATTTTCTAAGCAACCCAAAGTGCTATTTTCATGATTGTTTCAGTATTAAACGAAAAAGCTCTCAGCTTTAAGAAAAATTCCAACAGTATCATCTAATGTGGTGATTGACGTTGGATGACTACACTTTTGCAACTTAATTACGACAACCACCATACGAAAAAAAAATATGTTTGACTAAATACAGAACGGCACACTGACAATTCACTAGCAACCTACAATCCTGGCCAAATCTCGCTGGGCCCCCAACCCCCAGCCCCCGTTCAATGTTGTCTCTCATTGCGCGGTGTGTGCTCCATCCGCTGAAGAGAACAACATTGACCGGGGGAGCGGTCGAGTTGGTGACCGTTGGAGGCTAAGGGTATTTCCTAGTGTCCCAACCATTTTGGCCGGGATTGTAGCTGAAGTTAAAATAACAAAGATTAAAACAATTGCTATAGAGATTAATACCCAGTTACAATGATGAGGCACATTTTATGAAAAAGTTGCACATTTTACCAAGTGCCGAAAAAAATGCAACCTTTTGTACATTCTAAATTGTATGCTCCGATATACACAAAAGAAATAACAATTAATAACAATTAACTTCAGCGCATTATTTACTCATAATTGTCAATGTACTTTCTTGATTATAAATTGAGAATTTGTCAGGCAAATGTGGCACACTTACAGAATCTATTAAAAGTTATTTACAGTGACGTGTATAAATATAATCCCTTAAATACTCTACAAGCTAAAACTATCCAATAAATATACTAGGTACTAAAAAAAAAAAAGTCCACGGTACAACATACAGTATTAGCCAAAAAAGTGCATTTTTGGTCAAATTTTTAAGGATATTTCAAACAGATTTTTTGTAAATCACAAAGCAGAATTTGGCAAGCTATATACTTTCAACATTACAACATACATCATTTTTATTTCAAACCAAAACTCTTTGATCATATTTGCTACAAAGTCCAATTTTAAAGAGGCAGTAAGTAGGAAAATAATTATTATATATTATTCTGATTATTTCAGACGTTTCAGTTATTATTCAGCAGCACAGAAACACACCCGTCCTTATTGCACATTATTTATATATGTAGATAAAAAATACATAAATTCAAACTACAAAGTTCAAAACGAAATACAGAAATACCTGAGGGGCAAAAGGTATTCAGCGATCAGCAGTAAACTAGCTGATGGTCAAGTGCCAATAAGTGCATTAAAACAGAGACATTCAAACTTTGAAATTTTCGACTCCAAAGGCACGGTTGATACATTTTGGTAGAAACACATTTTCATTAGGCCAAAAATTGAATTCATATCCGGGATGAGTTCCAGACAAGCTGAGACATTTGTATCGGGTATGAGTTGCAGGATTCTGACAAAACTATCCCGCAATCCTCCTGCAATGAAGGTATCAGCGTCTTGGTGAGTCAAGCACTTGCTAATGAAAATTTCCCCGAAACACGTCCAGGACAAACGCGTACAATGTAGCTTTTTCCGGACAGAGTGAATGATTCTCGTGAATTATTGAATTTACAACACCCGACGCAAAGTTCCCTCGTATGAATAGTTTAGTTGCAGTGCCATCTGCTATATCGGATTCGAACCAGCCTACCGACCCTGTTAAGCTCGCTGGTCGAGTGGTGAAGACGTCGATGCACTAGTAAGAAAGAAGTCGTGGGCTCATATCCCAGTAGTTTCCCTCCAATCTCTAGATCTTCCCCCGCCCTTAATTGACAGGGGGGTAACCTGGCCCGCTGGGCGGGTACGCAGTGTCACCCTGCTGAGGTGGGTACGCGGGGTCCCAGGTTGGGGCACTCGCCGGCAGATTGTAGGTCGGGTACTGAGGGGCGTACATGAGTTTACCAAAGGTGTAGTCATAGCCACTCTTGCTGGGAATCTCCTGGGGCCCGCCCATGGCTACTTCGTAGCACGGGGGTGGCAATGGTGGAGCTGAGTGTGTAAAATCACAGACCAAAGTTATTTCAGAGTAAATGTGAGAAGAAAAACTGCTCAACACTCCAGAGCCATTTAGGAAACTTTGGCTCATTGCCAACAGTGGCTGCAATTCAGGTCTGATGCTTGGGTTACATTGATTTGAATGGGAACAAAATCAAGATGGCCGCAACATATATGGTCTTTCCCAGAGAACAATTGTAAAGTCTGGGCATAATCTCCAAAGACAGAAGCCATAAGCTGGATAGGGTTTGAGATTCGGAAAGTATCCAAGCCCCCTGACCGCTACTCCCCCCACCCCACAGCCCCTACAGTACTCCCATTGAAATGAACCAATATCACAACGGGAAGAAGAATCCTTCTTTGCTAATAACGTAGCAGTGACTTTCTTTGGTTATCAAAGACAGAGACGTACCACTAGCATTGCTGGATGGTTGGTTCAAAACCACGGCCGAGGGGTCTGCATACGAGGGCTGGTACAAAGGTTGGTGCAAGGGTATGGTCCCGATTGTGACTGGCAACCTCACCTCAGCATCAAATGGGGTGTTGGTGATGTCACCTTCGAACTGTAAACAAGAGCAGGGATTGGTCAGCAAAGTAACGCTTAATTCTGTGTCAAGGCTGTATTCGGATTTCGTTCTCTAAATGTAACTTTAGGCCAATCCACTGTTGAGGGTGATATTGCCAAGATTAATCGAATCCTGTCTTGAGAAGTTCGGCACCATGACCCAAGAATTCCTAGAATAACCTCATGCGTGTGCATCAACCATACGCTATATTAAAAATACTAGAGCACTAACTCCTCATTCTTACATGCGGAAATACATTGAAGCCGTTCCGGGCGCAGGCAAATTGAGCTCGTGTGCATGGTTGTAGAACATAATGCAATTAGATGGAGTGAATTTTGAAAGTGTACTCTGAATGCAATGCTCAGACACAAACAACTTCAGGGCGTCATAAGGGTTAAAAAACGTCACTGCAATATCATCTGCAACAGATTCGCACACGCGTTTGCATTGTTTGCGCAGAGCAAATATTTTTGGGTATGCTGTTTTTGCTGTTAAGTGTTCGGGGGAAATGACCTCTATACTAAACTGGCGTGGTTGCTACATGCTAAATAGCCTAGCTGCACGGCTTTGACGCAATCAAGCTAGTATTTCCCCAGATCTTCCTTTCCCCAAAACTCATTTGCCCTAGATCATTGGAAGCTCATGGTTTCTAAGGACCCCCCCCCCCCCAAAAAAAGGCTTGGCTGGCTCTGACTAGATTCTCAGTTAGCACACTCAGTGACTAAGTCAGCCAGCTAATTAGATAGGTTGTGTACAAATCACTTGTTTTCGGCTTCTAATATAACGCAAGTCTACGAGAAGTGCTTGCAGCTACTTCCCATAGATTTGTGTGTAATTTCAAGCCTTAGCCAAGTACTTGGGACACGGTCTAAGAGAACAATAAGCTGGCCCAGCGGCACCGGAACGGTTTTCAAACTGGGGGCATCACTAAAAAGGGGCAAATGTTGACACGTTTTTTTTTCACTAGGCCTCTGTAAAATCAAATAGTTGGGGGGGGGGGCGGACTGGTTACATCTTCAAAAATAGGGGCGCTCTTCAAAACTGGCCATTGTGCAAACTACGCATTATGGGCCCATTTCCAGGGTGCATTGTAAGGGTTTTGGGGCTTGGTTTTCATATTCCTTGTTTGAATCAGAAATCTCTATACCATTTTGGGAAATGGTTACTGAAAACAACTTAGCCAAAATTGTTAGGGCCAGATTTGTTTTCATCTCGAGAGGGCACATTTATGCCCAAGGAGGCACATTTATGCCCGAGGCAGCACATTTATGTCCACAAAGGGGCACTTAAATCAGGGGGAAGGGAGGGGCGGGGGGCGAGCAAGTGCCCCCCCCCCCCAGCCCCTCCCAGGTTCTGCCGGCCCTGAGCTGGCCCTTGGGCTCTACCCAACTATAGTTGGGACCATTGCTATAGTTGGGGAGTAACATCCTACCAGCACGTAATACTCAATCCTGATGATGCTGCACCCCTGAGGGCCAGTGGGAGGGATAGGAGGAACCAGGAGAGGGCTCCAGTCCATCAGAGCCACCTGACCTCCACCGCATCCCGGTGCCTTCACCTTGACCATGGTTTCAGATCGCCTCTCAGTGTGCCCCGAAGTGGAGAAGTAAACAACCATCTGATCAAACAGAGAGAAAGAACAAAAAAGATCTAGGGGTGTACCCTGAAAAGAAATTTAAACACAAATTCACAAATTCAACTAATTGCCAAGTTGAACAAAGAAATTGACTGGAGCGGGGCTTGAACCTGCGATCTCCGGATAACCGTTCCGGTGCTCGACCAACTGAGCTTTCCAGACCTATGTTGGCCGTTCCCTAATGAGTCAATATCTTTGTTCAAGGGGCACTAGTCAGAAGCCATGAACCAAAAATTTAAATAGATAAAAATCCATCAAAAGCCCCACAACATAGTTTTTCTTTTGAAATTTGCAAAAAACTTGTATTGTCTACACAGGTTTAAAGTTTCAGCCTAGTCAATTGGTAGGTCTCCGTCTTTTATCTGAAATCAAAATACTCTCACAAAAATGCTAAACATACCTCTATCAGACTATAACAGAAAAAGTGACTGTTGTCACGTGGCACATTATTAGGCCTGAGCGATTAGTGAATTTCATTAGTCGCGACTAGTAACGCAATTATTTATTTATCAAGTAATATATACCTCAATTTGGCAAACAGACCTGTACTAGCTTGGCCGTGAGATCTATAATATCACGACTGCTGTTATTTTCCACCGTTCCCGACACAAAGATACTCTCCCCAGGCACATAGGCACTCTTGTCGGTCGAGGCTTTAGTTAGGACGGGCCCGCTGGCACAACACAGGCAGCACACCGTCTGGGAGGACTGATCTCTGACAGGGTACTGTGGAACGGCAAAAAAACCCAGTAAATTCAATGTTGGGTTTTGCCCTTCACATGTTGTCCGAATGTTTGCTAGAAATAAGTGCCCAAGCTTACATACTTGGGTGGAAGTCGAACCCACGACCTTCTCTGATTGCAGATGTCTTACCACTCAACCACCTTGCCAGGGTCAGATGGCAGTGTTTCAGTCGAGGACATTTGTACGAGTTTGAGTACTTTGTCATGAGTATGAGTACTTAATCATGAGAACAAGTACAAGTATTACAACTCTGTGGGATGGTCAGTTTGAAAAATGTCAAAAAGAGCAACATCAGTTTCCAATGAGCAAAATCTCAGACCTATTACTCAGAAGTAGCTCCAAAGATTTGTGACTCATTTTGTGGGGTTGGGTTGCGTTCAGCAAAGCACAAGGCATTTTTTTTTGCAAGAGGAACCTAAGTGAATCATCCAGAATTGTCAGATGTGCAGGAAACCACTGGCACATTTATTTTACTCAAATATTTGAAGGCATCCAGATCTCCCATGTACATGTACCTTTACAGTGGCAGGGCTCTGCCTTCCTTAACCCATTACCAATTGTGCTACATTTGTACTTCATTGTTTTCTACTGTATTTATTTCCCAGATGAAGTCCATAAAACCATACACTGTTGGAATGGTATGGGGCGGTAAAGGGAGCAATTATAACAGGCTGCTTGTTCGGGGTGGTACGTAGACTAAAGGCATAGCCGTAACAGTCCTGAATCCTCCAATTTCAATATGATTTTGCACACCCTCTAGGGAGTTAGGGTTAATCCTGCAAAAATCCTCTAACCACATCAGTGTTTGATTTTGAGGATCTCGGGTGTAAATAGGTTAGGGTTATAGATTGAAGTACATTTGTACAATAAGCTCAAACGTGACTCACCCTTGCGCTTGGCATTGTGTTCAGATCAATAGGGATCCCAATAACTGTAAACAGCCTCTCCGTACGGTGGTCAAACTTCCAGGGTCGGTCGATCTTACAGCTCACCTTGTACCGTATCCACCCATGGTAAGACTCAAATGGGAACGGCAGGGGCTTGTTTGGGATCTGGAAGGAGAACGGGAAACGGTGCTCCCCGGACTCCAGAGTCAATTTTGTCGCATGTACATCCTGTTTACCTGAACCGGGAAATAAGTGCATCGATCCTAAGTCTTAAAACATGCAAATGCAGACACTGACTCACTTTGCAGATAATATAAGGGGGAGGGGGTGAACACGGGGCCATGATTAGGCATTTGGGGTAACATATGGCATGTATGGGACGGTGTGAACTGACCGTTGTATCGTGTAGTCTACATACACGTCGACACGAAACTGAGCATGCGCAAAAGAGCCTTCGATGTTAAATCTGGTTTCCTACTCATAATGCATGCTTTTAATACATATGGTGGGAACACAGTCTTAATAATAAGTACTAGGGACGCAGTCCGCATCACAATGTACTTTCTTTCCATTGGTTACCAGCGTCTTTATTATCCGTCGTGCGGCATGAATCATCGCACACACGTGTCGTTCTGTCTTCATGGTCTTGCTTCTCTCGTAGATTCGTATCTCATCTTCTGGGTTTTTTTTAAAGTAATTTCATTCTTAGATTATTAATTACTTTGTTTACTCCTTCCTTTCCTTACGATGCCATGTCTAAGAAGAAGAAATTAGATGTCAATGATTTCTTGACAGACTTACGCCATACTTGGACAGTGTCATTTCAATGTATTTAACGGCCAGGAATCCCCTGCTGAGTAACGTGGCAAACTTCGCCAAGGCGAAGACGCTGTCTGTCTCTGACAAACTTTGTCTATTGGTTGCGAAATTTTTATTTGAAGAAGTGCAAAGGGTGAGAGATTGTGTTATAGAAAGTAGACTGGAAGACCCAGTGCTATTGTCGGAGGGCCTATCTGCCGATCTCGATTTGTGTTCAGCACTACTGAATATTTTGCGTCCCATCCCAGCTCAACAAGATAGTTCTAGGCCTACCTCCAGCAGCTCTTGTGCATGGACCAGTTTATGCGGGTGTCCTTGATGACAATCAACGCCCGCCGAGCTAACGTGTTGGATACAATCTTTGTTCCCTCTGATCGTTTGAGGTCCAGCCTGGAATCCATCCCCCGACTGAGTTCCGACTTGTTTGGAGGGAAATTCCAAGAGATCATGCAAGCTGAAGCGAAGCGGATAAAAGTTACGAACAAGATCAATCTCAATAGACAGCCTAATCCGAAGGGCAGCTCTCGTCCGGCAAGAGGTGGCAGTGCAACGACTAAGGGCAAGACATTCCCCCGTAAACCGTTGAAGCCGTTTGCCTCCAACCCATCGGGCTCGTCTTACAAAGCCACTACAACAGTGGGACAGAGTCAGGCCTTTGGATCGCATACCCGGGGTAGAGTTGGCTTCACCCCCCGCTCCAAAGCTTCACGCGGAGGTTACCGGGGCGGCGGTTGGCACCGGTGACGGCACCCTTCCCACAGCCCCCTATCCAGGGCCCATAGGGGGTCGACTCATACGTTTCGCAAGGACTTGGGCTTTTTTGTGCAACGACGGGTGGGTACTAAAAACAGTAATTTCCGGCTACGACCAAGCGTCACGCTCTGGAGTCAGAGATATCTGCCGTCTTAAAGAAAGGGGCAATACGCAGAGTGCCGACAGAGGATGCAGCTCGAGGATTTTTCTCGACATTCTTTCTAGCGCCAAAGAAAAAACCGGGAGAATGGCGACCGATTTTGAACCTTCGGCCGTTAAACAAATATGTCCGACCCAAACGGTTCCGGATGGAGTAGCCCCCCCAAATTTTGTCTACCCCCCCCCCAAATAAATTCCGTAAAAAAAAATTGCATTAGCAAAAAGAAGGATTGTGATGTACATGTGAATTTCTGGATCGACCGTGCTAGCCCCCCGAACATATTGGTTCTAGAACCGCGCCTGCGAGGAGCGAGTCCAAAATCTTGTGGACTGCATCGCCCTATTCCAGACCGCCCCGGCAATAGCCTGGCTTCGGCTATTGGGCCTAATGGCAAGCATGGTGGATGTGCTTCCATGGTGCAGGATGCGGATGCGCCCACTACAATTACATCTACTTGCCCACTACCAACCGTGCATTCACCAAATCCAACGGCCAGTGCCAATCCCAAACATGATTCGCCCCCATCTGGACTGGTGGTCTCAGTGAACAAACGTCAAGGCCGGACTGATTTTTCCACGACCACAACCTTCTGTGACTCTGGTGACGGATGCCTCCAACACAGGTTGGGGGGCACATATTGGAATAGAATCAGCAGCAGGGTCTTGGTCCCAGGCGGACAGACAGTGCCACATCAATATCCTGGAACTGCTTGCGGTCTTTCGGGCTCTGAAGCACTTTGTCGGACGGGTGACAGGGGAAGTAGTTCTCATAAAATCGGACAACTCAACCGTCGTGTCTTACATAAATCGCCAGGGCGGGACACGGTCCCCGCAGTTGTGCATGCACACGTGGGAGCTCCTGCTGTGGTGTCAAGCGAGACAGGTTACGCTTACGGCGGTCCACCTGGCGGGGAAACTGAATGTCATGGCGGACGCTCTGTCCCGGGGGAAGGTCCTTCCAAGGGAGTGGACTCTTCACCCGACAGTAATTCAGTCGATCTTCCAAGTATGGGATCGTCCTCACATCGATCTTTTTGCATCAGCACTGAACCATCAGTTACCGGTGTATTGCGCACGCAACCAGGACCCAAAGGCATGGGCTGCAGACGCGTTTTCCATCAGTTGGAAGGGCATGCTGGCATACGCTTTTCCACCAATCTCGCTCCTGCCAAGAGTATTGACATAGGTCGAGACAGAGGAGTGCAGAGTCATTCTCATCGCTCCCTTTTGGCCGCACCAGCCTTGGTTTCAGAAAATCGTTCGGCTGTTGTGCAACCCACCGATAATTCTTCCGGGGCGACCAGACCTACTGCGTCAGCCCCGGTCTCTGATCCCGCACCCAGGGATAGAGTCGCTTCACTTAACATCTTGGATGCTGTCGAACAGTCACTGCGATCAGCAGGCCTTTCAGCAGACGCTGCCTCATTGGCAGCCCGAGGCCGCAGACTGTCTACCCGTCGAACTTACGACAGCCGATTACGACATTATCATAGGTGGTGTGAAGAACAAACTCATGATCCATGCACAACACCTTTAGCAATGGTAGGAGACTTCCTCATGCACCTGTTCCATGAGGATCTGACGGTATCCACTATTCGGGGCTACAGATCAGCCATAGCGGCTGTCCATAAGGGATTCCCGGATGGATCTACGGTGTCGGATAATGCTAGCCTGACTCAGCTCATGTGGGGGATGTTCGTTGAGAGGCCTCCATCTAAGAAGCTGGTTCCGTCTTGGAATCTGGCACAGGTCCTTCAGGTCTTGGCGGGACCGCCATATGAACCTATGGCCAACGCCTCTTTGTTTGACCTATCCGTCAAAACGGTCTTCCTGTTAGCCACGGCCACGGCTCGACGAAGAAGCGAGATTCATGCCCTTTCGGTGGAACCGGGGCATATCCGATGGGAACCTAACGGGGTACGACTGGTGCCTCGTCATGGGTTTTTAACGAAGAATCAATCTCCATCCTTCTTCCCTCCACCGATTTTTGTTCCGGATCTTAAAGGGTTTTCCTCCGTCCCACAAGATATATTATGGTGTCCAGTTCGAGCACTGAAATGTTACTTGGCTAGAACAAAAACCTTGAGAGGAGACACCACCCAACTATTCATTTCAACAAATAAACCGCACGGGGCGGTGTCGGCAGACTCTATTTCCCAGTGGATTGTTACGGCTATCCAAGCGTCAGTCAAAGACTGGCCGAATTCACCAACCAATCCGGTCAAGGCACATGACACGAGAGCCATGACAACGTCATGGGCTTACTTCAAGGGGGTCCCTTTTCTGGACATTTTACAGGCAGCCGCCTGGAAAACACCGTCAACTTTCACGGCCTGCTACCTGCGGGATGTTCTCCAAGCAGAAGGACGGACGGGCCGTACAGCCATCTCAGTAGGTGCATCCAGAGGAGGTTCTACCCGGGAGTGATGGGATGTTCCCTCAGGGTCAGGAGAGAACACAAGTTACTGGTGAGTTCTGTAAGTTGCCATGTACACCACTGGTTAGAGAGAACGTGAAGGGACAAGGTTTAGGTTTCCCGAAGCGTGGTTTTTGGATAGGCTCGCTCTGAAGCCCACCATCCGTTTTTTGGTGCTAGTCTATACAAATTTTAGGTTTAACAGGTAAGGGAGTCCCTGAAGTGGACTCCCCCAAATCAAAGGTGATTTGGGAGTCTGCGAAGGGACGATGCTTACCTGTTAAACCTCCCCCCCCTCCTTCCCCACGGTGGCTCGCCCTACAGTTAGATACTAGAGAAAAGAGGACGAGTTGGCCGTAGGCGGGAGCGGGGGCGGGCAATGGAGGGCGCACTTGTGTGGTATTAAAATCTAGCGTGGAAGCCTAAGGCTTAGAGAAATATGCAAATTATAGGTTTAACAGGTAAGTATCGTCCCTTCGCGGACTCCCAAATCACCTTTGATTTGGGGGAATCATCCCGAGGCAGCCAAGAACCAATCCCTGAATTACCCAAGAATTGCTTTACATGGGGATTGTGAGAACCTAGCATAACCAGGGCATAACCAGGGCAATTTCTAACTGTACAATTCAGTGCAATTCAGAAGTGACATCCGTTTACAGCAGATGATAAAATGAAAGTTAAGTTGAGAAAGACAATAATATTATTGAATCCTACTTTTTCCCCAGCAGACTAGTTTTTCTTTGAAGTAGGTTTCATATCCAGAGTAGCTCCTTCTATTATCACCACTTCCCTCTGACCAGTGAGTATGGGCTTTGCCTTTAAATGAGATCTTTATCCCTGGAAAAAAATAACAAAGACCACATTTTTTTTTAATTTGACAATATCAATGCTGAAAGACAAAAGGTAGCTTCAGCAGGGTTTATACAACAGTGGCATATTTGGTTAGGGGTGGTGATTGGGTGGCAGTGGGAGGGCGGTGGGGGGGGGGGGGGCAATTTGTCCCCTCCACCCTCCCCTGACGATATTTTGACTTTTTTGGGGTGGGGGTTTCTTTGGAGAATTTTTTTTTATGCCCTGGTAAACGGAGAAAGAAATGAAGGGGACAATGCAACAATGCCCATAGTGTGTATAGTGTTTTACTACAAATGACCGTCACTGCCCACACACAAGTCACTGATCATTTGGCATTAAATTTTCTCGAAATTTCATGTGTGCAAACGAATCTGGAAATTTCACGAAAAATAGACACCAGCATCTAAAAAAGGCAGCACTTTCTGATTAGCCTATAAAGAGGGTGAGTATGCTTCTAAAGCAAAAATAAAAACCTACAAACTACATGTAAAAATCAAAATTTGACAAAGTTCGACATGGCCACATTTATGGGGCTACACAATGGCCATACTACGGGGTTAAAGAAAGTAAATTACGACACTGAAATAAACACACCTCTGACGTCACTCTTTGCATCCCGGAGAACAAGTTTTACGTAGCCTCTGATGACGTCTCCCGACTTGAATACATCCACATCGTCGCCATCAAAGATGACCTCAAATGCCTGTAGTTTGCCAGTCATGGCTGACGTTCCTTTTCCAACGTTGCTGAAGCAACTTAAAGTGTGACTCAATTCCCTTAAAGAGAGGATAATTTAATACGAGAAACACAAATTTAATTTATTAATTGAATATAGCATTAAAGAAATGATACTTATTAATTATGCATCTTTATGTATTGATTGTTGCTCCTCAACCGCATACGGCCAAGTAAGCAAATAAACTGTGTTCCTTTCTAAGTTTCTCCATGAGAAACAAGAAGTAGAGTTGTAACGAGTCACGGAATTTTGTTCATTTTCAAAAAGTCCGGACAAGAAACTATAGAAAGAATGTTGCAACCTGATGCTACTTCCAAAACAGAAAAAAGAATTTTTTTAGCTTACCTTGTACCTCAGATAAAGATGGAGTTACCTCGGCCCTAAATTTTATCAACCCAATTGATGATAAAATTTAGGGCTGAGGTATAAACTCCAGCTATATTAATTATTATTATATAACCCACATACAGATCCTTGTCATTTGATTGGTGGAACTCACCAATGGAGTTCTAGCGTCCCAGTTAGTGGGTCTATGATTGAGAAGTCCAAGCTCTTCTCAACCAATCCACACACTGACAGCGGCAGAGGACACAGTTTAATACAAGCTGTATAAGCCAGCTCTGAACAAGGGGCTGAACTGTAGAAAACATTTCTTCTCAGTCAGAGTGATCACAGAGTGGAATAGTCTCCCATCTCATGATCAAGCGTCAATTTAGCTAATTCCACAAACCAGTTCAAGACGCAGCTGGATAAGTTTTGGAAGGAAAAAGGATATGGGGTCGTAAACTAAGGCTTAAGCCAGATTGCCCATCAAACTAAGTGTATTAGTGTATATAATCAACACATAAAACATTAGTACATCATGCACTCACCTAGCCCCATAAATGTGGTCTAGTCCGAGTAACTTGGACCCAACTTATCGCCTTTTTAAAACATTTTGACCATGTCCAAATGTTAAAAAAAGGCGATAAGTTGGGTCCAAGTTACTCGGACTAAATGTGGCCTATTTACTGGACTGCCTCCGTAAAGATATAGGTCACACATCCACATGTACAAAAACGTGTCGCACTTTACCAAATTTTGATTTTCACATTTAGGCTTAGTTTGAAGGGTTTTTTTGCTTTAGAAGCATGTACTCACCCTCTTTATAGGCTAATCAGAAAGTGCTGCCTTTTTCAGATGTCTAATTGTTGTGAAATTTCATATTGAAATTTTGAACGTACGTGTAAAAATGAATCTGGAAATTTCACGAAAAATATACATCTGAAAAAGGCAGCACTTTCTGATTAGCCTATAAAGAGGGTGAGTATATATGCTTCTAAAGCAAAAAACCCCTACAAACTAAGCCTAAATGTGAAAATCAAAATTTGGCAAAGTGCGACACGTTTTTGTACATGTGGATGTGTGGCCTACGTTTACGGAGGCAGTCCAGTAAATAGGCCACATTTATGGGGCTAGCACTCACCAAGAGCCTTAATTAATGGAGATGCATGTGGTGTTGGCAAACTTGTACTTGTCATCTTTTGCAATGATGGGCCGCAGGCCAGGCCGCATGCAACAAAATAGTACCAGGCAGTACACACTTTGTTTACCAGCTGCAGGACATTTAGCACATTTCTTTGTGAAACCTCGGCTAGGCTCCGATCAGGCTCAATTTTTTTAATTTAAAACAAAATTTAAATCCCTTCTTACTACCTTGAAACTACCACTGACCTGCGTTTAAATACTTTTTTTTTTTAGCTACAAGAACATTGAATTGTGCAAGAAAATGAAACCAATGTTTATCTTCTTAAAACCGAAACCCGAAGATGGAGCCAGGTCAATTGCAAACGAAGCCTTAATTTAACAAACGACATTATATTATCGGTTGATATTCACAGCGCCCTCAACGTCCAAGGTTGTTATGTTACATATTCTCTACCAAAATGGCGTTTTACGGTGAGCAACTTAACTTTACTCTCAATTGAATGTTACATTTCTTGGCATTAAACTTTAATGTAAGGTCTTACAGTTAGCTTTTCCATTTACTGATAGTTGCTAGACCGGAAATGTGCAGTAAAGTACTTGTGGAAAAAGTTGTCGTGGTTGTGAATTTCATTTTTTCGTCAGTAAAAAAGGATTTTCCTAACGAAGTGGCTATCGTTACGGCAGTCGTTGTTTAGCGCCTTCTACGATACTTTTTTGATACGCACGCAGGTATATAATTATTTTTTTCCACACGTTTTAGCGAGCAGTGCGACAGCTTTGTCGATAGAGGGTAAGATTTTGCACCGCGAGGTTGCAGGTACGAATCTCAGTTTTGCACTCGAATTTTTTTTCCTTTTCTAACCCGAGGCTTTGGAAGATTTTTTTTAAAAGGGAAATAAGGTCCGAATTTCATAACGTTCAAATTCACTTTGTTCCTTCTAATTTTATATTTTCTTGTCATGTTTTTATAAAAGTTGCAGTCTACCGTAACGATAGAATTAGAAAATGGGAAATGCGTTACGGCTGCCGTAACAATAGCCACTGCATTTTCCTAAAAAAGCACGCTGTCCTTTTCTACGCACTAAATTTGTGTGTGACAACATGCGCGCGTTGCAAGCGTCACCTGCGCAGATAATGGTTGGAGGGTCGAGGTCGATAATACATGTTGTAGGCCTACAGTCGTTTTCCTAGTTCTGGATTTTTCCTAGTTCAGGATAGCTTCAGATAAAACCTAAGAGCAACTATAGAATGCAGGGCCACTCCGGAAAGTTTTTTTTTTGTAGTTGGAAATTGGATGCGATGTGAGGAGTGGGGTCGTTGAGTAGATGGCACTCTTTTGAGAACAAAGCAATATTGGTAATGGTATGAGACTTCTCCTATGCGTATGCGTACGCATCTCGTGTACGCGGGTATGAACGTAGATGTATGAAAAAAATAGAAGGCGGTATAAAGAGTGAATGAGCGTGAAGTAAATTGTTATCAATAGAGGGCGCTATAGGGAGTGAATTATTGACAAGTACGTAGTATATATACCGAGTGAGACGTCTTGGATGCATGGATGCGCGGATGCGCGGATGGATGTGATGAGCATGAAGTCATCAAGAGAGGGCGCTTTATTTACCCCAGGACCCTCGTCCCATATGTTACCCTAGTCCGAGTAACTTGGACCCAACTTATCGCCTTTTTTAACATTTGGACATGGTCTGGCGATAGTAAGGTCCAAGCTAATACCGAGACCTAGACAACACAGTCCCAAAAACCAACATTTTCCAACAAAAAACATCAGATTTCACCTTCAAAACGGCCTCCAAATTACTAGATATGTCACCTGAGGTACAAGTAGACATAGATGATTAAGATGGTTGTACTTAAGTTTATTTACGATCCGGAAAAAAAGTGAAATTTTCCGTTCAATTCTGAAGACCCCCTCTGCCTAGGTTGTCGTTGTTGTGCTCACGTTCAAAACTGCATGATAATGGCGTCTGACCTCGACCTCATGCAAATGTCTGGACGGCGCGCTTGCGCATAATGCACTGCATGAACGGCAGATTCCCCTGCGCCACGCCGACGACTGTTTCCTGATGTAGAGCGCCAGCCATGCGCCTGGCTAGCCAGCGCGACTCCTAGGCGTACCGCGAACTTACACAGCACTCTACATCAGGAAACAGTCGTCGGCGCGGCGCAGGGGAATCTGCTGTGCATGCAGTGCATTATGCGCAAGCGCGCCGTCACGACATTTGCATGAGGTCGAGGTCAGACGCCATTATCATGCAGTTTTGAACGTGAGCACAACAACGACAACCTAGGCAGAGGGGGTCTTCAGAATTGAACGGAAAATTTCACTTTTTTCCGGATCGTAAGTAAACTTAAGTACAACCATCTTAATTATCTATGTCTACTTGTACCTCAGGTGGCATATCTAGTAATTTGGAGGCCGTTTTGAAGGTGAAATCTGATGTTTTTTGTTGGAAAATGTTGGTTTTTGGGACTGTGTTGTCTAGGTCTCGGTATTAGCTTGGACCTTACTATTGCCAGACCATGTCCAAATGTTAAAAAAGGCGATAAGTTGGGTCCAAGTTACTCGGACTAATGTTACCCCAAATGATTTACCCTATAAGACATGTATTTCCCTATCTAAACCCAACCCCAACCTACCTATCATTCCGTCTTGGATGCGCGGATGCGGGGTGGGCATGAAGTAAATTTTAATCAATAGAGGGCGCTATAGAAAACTGACTGCGCATTCACGGCCACCAAGCCATGGATGCGCGGATATACATTGTAGAATGGAGTGGCCCTGTATTCTATAGATGTGCCAAAACCTACCTCTTTTTGATTAGTCTCCAATATTTTTTTTTCTGATGAAGTGCATTTTGAAAAGGAAAATGTAAGCTTCTTGATACACGAAGATCTTTTTGATAAAATCTTTAGAAGAGGAATTTCGGCCAGATTTCCGACTCGCACTTTGACTTGTTTGGACGGTTTGTAGAAAATCGCGGGAGCTGCAAATCGATGAAAAATTTTCTCCTCGGTCATGTCGGTACATCACTCGAACCGTGTGATTTCGAATATTGTGTTTATTCACTACAGTCGTATAAACTCTTCCATCGAATGTTTGTTGAATCAAAATAAGTTGTGGAGTCTCTAATTTTTGAAAATTCGCCAACGAATGACCATATGCATTTGACTTGTTCCGGATAGCGCGTGTACTTATTCGCCCCTTACGACCCAACCACATTTTCATAATGTGAGTAACCGATTTTGTGCGTCTTGTTTATCATACACAATGCATTTCTCTGGATGTCATCTTTGGTGCTCAGGTAGGTCTAGGTCTACTCTATCTACCATGGGGATAACAGTTATTAAACCTTTTCAGTAAGGTAATTACAGCCCAAGGAAACTCAACAGTACATCAAAAATGTAACGTGAGTAACCGTGGAATTGTCCTTTTGGATATGGCTAGCAGATATTTGCACTAATGTCGTAATGCCGTAGCACATTGTGTTTATTCTGTCCATTACCTGACTCCCTACTGTCTTTTACTAAGTAGAGGACCAAGTCAGCCAAAATCCATCAATCATACTGCTTCCAATACATGACATACCGGAATCCACCACTGAAGAACGGGTGAATATTGATGGACTTAGTACACATGGCTTTAAGTGACAAAAGCAGTACAGGAAGCTATGGGAATTCAATCAGATTTCAGTAGCCTTGCTTCAGGCCTCCAGGCCCAAGTCCATCATACTCCATCAAAATCTAGTCATTTCCTGCGGGACCAAGCTAGTGTTAATATCAAGGTTTTCATCGTCTTATGTGCTGATTGTTGTTTTTACTGTTTTATTTTACTGCTTTTACACCAGGAAAAACCATTTCATGTCTGTTTTAACTTACATGACTAATAAAATCTGACTCTGATTGCACACCTTGACAACTAAACCACATCAATTTATAGTCTTAACTGTAAATACACATTGCGTAGTTATGCAACAAGCTGTCTGAAATGATGCACTTTTTATTCATAACCGTGTATATTTAATCTCTACATCTTTGTCTTCTGTGCAGCTCGGCCGGTTGGCAGCTTTATGCTGAGGATGGGGCGGTTTGGGCTACTGCCAGCCAGGCAACTACCCACCACCTCACAGTCTGTGCGCTCCCTGTACGACCAGAAGCCATCTAGCCTTCCAGTGCAGACAAGTAACGCCACAAACAGCTTGAGGTATTGCACCGTTTTCTTGTAACTGTTGTTTGTGAAACTGATAAAGTCTGGAGAACAGACCAGTCATTGACCAGTTGATTTGTGACTTTCATTGCCCCTCAGCACTTACATTTACATATAGTAAACTCCGGCCAAGTCGACATCGAACAACTCGCCAAATTACTCAAGTCGGCATTGAAATAATTTTTATTTCCAAGTCGGCTTTTATGAGTCGCCATTTCACTCTAGTTAGCGTGTTACTCTCGGTCCCTTTCACAAAAAGCACAAGAAAATCCTTTGTGTAATCGGCATTCAAAAAATCATATACTGGCATCCACTTCCTGCACTGCAGTTGGCAACAAGAGTCGAGTGAAAAGTCACACACTGCTTTAAAGTGACGTCTGTTTATTGTTTGTTTATTGGCACGGCCCGTGATCGCTGCATCAGTGTTACGTTGCAGCCAAGCCACGTCTGAGCGTTGCGTGCACTTGGACAGATCCCGGACCTCTCTTGGCCAGCACATGCTTTGTTTCATGTTTCAAGCCCTGTTCGTTCCGTCTGAAAAATGGCTTCCAATTCCTGTTCAAAGAAACGGAAACTGGAGACAAAAACATACAAAGAAAAGTACAAGATCGTGAAGTTTTGTGAAGCCAATCCTAGGATGAGAAAGGTGGATCTGGCTCAGAAGTTTGGCCTTCCTCGAGGAACCTTGTATGATATTTTGAAAAACAAGGACAAGATCATCGAAGCTGTGGAAAAACCTGATGCCAGGAAGGGCGGTATAAAGCGCGTCAAACAATTAACTTACGATGATGTGAACTCTGCCCTTATCGTGTGGTTTCGGCAGAAAACAAGTTTGCCGGATATTCGAATCGACGGTGAAATGTTGCTAGTGCAGGCACGGAAATTCGCCGCTGACCTTGGCCATGAGGAACCCGAGAAACTGAGCCCAAGTTGGATCGAGCGATTTAAGGCCCGCTGGGGAATCGGCCGAGTCCACAAAGCAGGTGAATCTGACGGTGTTGACAGGGCCGTTGTCACCGATTGGAAGGAAGGCAAATTGCAACAACTTCTAGAGAAATACCAGCCAGAGGACATTTATAATGCAGACGAAACTGGGCTCTTCTGGCAACTGCTCCCGGAGAACTCCCTTGGTTTCAAAGGGCAATCTCACCACAGGAGAAAAGAGATCAAAACTCGTATTACACTTCTCGTATGTGCCAATATGGATGGCTCAGACAAGCTACCCTTGTATGCCATTGGCAAGAATAAAAAACCACGCGCCTTCAAAAATGTATGTCATTTGCCCATCACCTACACTGCAAATAAGAAGGCTTGGATGACATCACATCTGTTCGACAAGTGGCTAAAAAATCTTGATGACCAGATGGGAAGTCAAGGAAGGAAAATCGCCATGGTCGTTGATAATTGCCCTGCCCATCCACAAAAAGAATATGAGAACATCAAACTCGTATTCCCGCCTCCAAACACCACAAGCTGCACCCAACCGATGAATGGTGGTGTGATCAAGAACCTGAAGACCCACTACCGAAGGATTCTTGCAGCGCATCGCCTGGAAGCAGCGAGGAGAAATTCTCCCTTCAAATGGGACCTCCTTGATGCACTCTTTGCTGTCAAGAATGCTTGGGGTCAGGTCACCCAAGCTACAATCGCAAACTGCTTCCGAGGAGTTGGCTTTGTATGCCCTGATGAGACAGGTCCGGCAGAAGCTCCATCTGCCGATGATGCCCCGCAGCTGTTAAGTGAAGGGGACGCACGCCAGTTCCGCAACATCTGGAACAGTCTGGCAGACATCTTCGGCCAGGATAGAATCCCATCTCTTGGGGACTATGTTGATATCGATGCAGAATGCGGCGGCAACACCCAGGAACTCACTGATGAGGACATCGTCAAGTTTGTGACGTCTGGGAATGTCACCTCGGATATGGATGCGGAAGGTGCTAAATCCAACGGAAGTGCCAATGAGGTCCCTAGCGAGCCTGCACCGCCTCCTTCTATCCATGAGGCTTTCAAAGCTCTTGATGTTATCAGGCGCTTTGCTCTGTCATCAGAAGTTCTCCCGGCCAGCCTGATCGATTTTGGCGACCGCGTGGAAACGTTCCTTGTGGCTGAGATGCCCAAGAGAATGAAACAGTCACAAATCACTGATTTCTTCTGAATGGACAATACGTAGAACTTTCCGAGGGCGAGTCAATCACATACATGTACATGTACATAATTTATATGTAGAATCTCTCATATTTTAGGTAGGTTTAGACGAACAGTTTTCAATTTAATAGAGGCTTCCCATTCATAATATGAATGTTTGAATTTACAAATGGTGGAGATTGTGAAGTCAAATTTACTAATGTTATCAGACTTTTCAACTTTGCCCACTTGCAAGAAATTCATCTGAAACTTTTTTGTGTAATTTACGAAGTTCAAAAAAAGAAAGTATATCAAGGCATAAATGAAAACGAAGGAAAAATATTCCGGTGATGAATTTTTATTTTATAGCTGTTCATAGTGCAGCAGATAACTGTAAAAATCTTTCAAATGTGGATACAAGTACCAAAATCGACACAAATACTCCTAAGGTATAAACTCTTTTGAAAAATCTCATTAGCCACTTGAATTTTAGAAATGGCCGCCATTTTCCAAGATGGCCGCCATTCCTGCATAAACACCTACATGTATTTTACTACAAAATTTTTTACCCACTTGACTGATTTTGATAGTTTTGCTACTGAATCCTATATATGTTTTGACGCTGGGGAAGTCAAATTTACAACTCCACAACTTCTACAGAGCTTCTTTGTGCCATTTCTAACAAAGAATGTGAAAATGTATACATAAAACGCCGGATAATTGGGCAGAGGAGAGGGGAAGAGATGTACTCGGTGCTGCAACCTGGGGGTTTGTGTAGGTCATGGCAGGGAGATGAAGTGCAAGCCCAAGCCGTTTCAGTAGTGCCATTGGAGTGGGTATGCAGCCCAGACAACTATCTCTTTGTCTTCAACAGCAAGTAACTGTTCCTGTCACTCCGATCCCTGTTCCCACCAGCCCTGAATCCGCTCCCCCTCAGTGGAAGAATTTGGCTCTGACCACTGACAAGAGGAGCTGGTTGTCAATGCCACAGGATGTGTCAACCTCAGTCGGGTCTACTTCACCCCGGCCCATAGTTGGCGTCGGTCACCCGAGCTGTTTATGACAGGCGCAAACGGCATTTCTATAAATGTTGCAGACGACGTACAAGATCTATTGCTCCGAAATTGTAGCCGTTCATCCAGGTTTCCAGGACGGTTCTTCAATTTCCGATTTCTCCCCCCCCCCCCCAGCCACCGAACACTCCTACTGTCATGGGGTCTTGCAAGCTCTCGCCCAGCCTCCTTTTGAACCTCTCGACCACGCTACTCTTATGAATGTTGCCTTGAAAACTGCCTTCCTCCTGATGGCAGATACAGCCCGCCGCCACAGCTCATCACATGAGTGAATTCCATGCCCTGACCATAAGTCAAGGACATTTGCATTTGGAGCCCCCATTGCTCTTTCCTCAAGAAGAACTAGTTTGTGATGTTCTCCCCGCCTTACATCTTCGTCCCTGACTTGAAATCCTTCTACTCTGTCCCGGAGGACAAGCACTGGTGTCCTGTCCTGACCTGACCCTCAAGTGGTAGGCCTGCCTTCATTGGACTTCACCAATCTGCGGTGACCAACAGGCTCTTTTTATAACTACGGTTTCACCGCCTCGTCCAGCATCCCGCGATAATCACTCGCTGGGTCGTTACGGCAATATGACTCGCATCCCCTGACTGGCCTATCCTGAAGTACAAGCCCAAGAAGTTTGCTGCATGGCGACCTCTTGGGGCGTTTTCAAAGGAGTGCCTCTAGCAGATACCATACTAGCGGCATATTGGAAATCCTCCAACACCTTTGATCACCTCTTAGTATCTCAAGAATGTGCTGAAAGGCGACAGCAGAACCAGTCGTGCAGCCTATACTGCCTCAGCGGTGTATTCGGATCCAGTTCCTCCTTCCCTGGTGCCCCACAGTACCAACCAGTGATGGCTTAACCCATTATGGTAAGAGCCGATTCATATACGTTTGACTTTATTGGGTTTTATCTGTTGGCTTATGGCTCATGCTTCCTAGTTGCCCGCCTTCCACATTGTACTCTCTCATGTCATACGCTAACCCACCTACCTAAAACAGTGCTATTCTGCATATGTAGTGTAGTCCTGCACATATGCGCTCTGTCCATTTCGGGGGTCGTCTTATTGAACGATGTAGTCAATGTTACTTACCACTCACGCATTTAATTCGTAACTATACACGTACAGTAAACACCCTGGCCAAGTTGGTACTCTTGGGACCTGGAAATTTGTGACGACTTACGCAAAAGCCAACATCTGCTGTAAGTCTTCATTTTGCCGACTTACTTGAATGGCCTTTTAGCACGCATGATTCATTGCACTAATTGGCTTCGATTTACCCAGGTAAACTTAACTTAATGCTTGAGTTGAATCCAGCAAATTAATCCTCAAATGTTATCATTATGTTTTGGGTAGAGACAGTGAAGACCATGTGTACAGAATAGTAATACATGTACATTTTTTTACATGTACGTGCTCAGTTGCGAAATAAATGCGTGCGTGGTATACCACGCACGCATTGACTGCATCATTGCAGGTATTGACTGTATCAAAATGGACAGAGTGTATGCGTACAGACTAGAGGGGGTACTGGTATTGATATGCTCACGATGCATATGCAGTAGGAAACCCTTTGGCTTGGCTGTGCAGCGACACGGATGCAGAGATCACGGGCTGTGCCAAACCACTTTTCACTTGACACTTCTTGCCATTCGCAGTACAGGGACTTGATGCCAATGTATGATTTCTTTAATGCCGACTTACACAAAGGATTTTGTTATGCTTTTTATGGAAAGGGGACCTAGAGTAAAACCACGACTTGAGCGAAATGGCGACTTATAAAAGCCGACTTAGAAATACAAAAATCAATGGAAATGCATTACAGACAACCAGGACTTTAGTCAGACGGCTGACTTGAGCGATTTGACGAGTTGTACGATGTCGACTTGGCTGGAGTTTACTGTACATGTAGAAAGCACACCTGGTCTCCACTATAACAATGCTACATTGAACCGACAGTATGATCAATACCCCAGCTCAAGATGATAGAAATCGAGGATTAATTTGCAGGAATCAACTCAAGCATTAAGGAGATAAACCAGGGTAAATTGAAGCAAATTAGTGCAATGAAGCATACATGTATGTGTAGAGGCCATTCATGTACATTGTAAGTCGGCAAAATGACAACTTACAGCAGATGTCGGCATTCGCGTAAGTCGTCACAAATTTCCGGGTCCCAAGAGTGCCGACTTGGCCGAGTTTACTGTAAAGTGTGAACATCGTCACAAAAAAACCCTCAGGGTCCATGCTCCCTGCTGTATATATTGCACAGTTTTTAATAGTCGAGGTAGCCATGGATCAAAAATACATCCAAAGTTTGGTCACAATCAAATCACTTGTCAATTCACAAGTCCAGTCACAGGAAGCAGAGAATGCACAATGTAATTGACTCAGGATTTACTCGTGACTGACTCGTCATTGATTCGTGACTGACTCATGACTGACTCACGACTGATTGGCGACTGATTCGCGACTGACTCGGGACTGACTCGCGACTGACTCGCGACTGACTCGGGACTGATTCGGGACTGATTCGCGACTGATTCACGACTGATTCGCGACTGACTTGGGACCGACTCGGGACTGACTCGAGACTGACTCGGGACCGACTCGGGACCGACTCGGGACCGACTCGGGACCGACTCGGGACCGACTCGGGACCGACTCGGGACCGACTCGGGACCGACTCGGGACCGACTCGGGACCGACTCGGGACCGACTCGGGACCGACTCGGGACCGCCTCGGGACCGCCTCGGGACCGACTCGGGACCGACTCGGGACTGACTCACAATCAAATCACTTGTCACAATCAAATCACTTGTCAATTCACAAGTCCAGTCACAGGAAGCAGGGAATGCACAATGTAATTGACTCGGGATTTACTCGTGACTGACTCGTCATTGACTCGTGACTGACTCATGACTGACTCACGACTGATTGGCGACTGATTCGGGACTGACTCGGGACTGACTCAGGACTGACTCACGACTGACTCGGGACTGATTCGCGACTGATTCACGACTGATTCGCGACTGACTCGGGACCGACTCGGGACTGACTCGAAACTGACTCGGGACTGACTCGGGACCGACTCGGGACCGACTCGGGACCGACTCGGGACCGACTCGGGACCGACTCGGGACCGACTCGGGACCGACTCGGGACCGACTCGGGACCGACTCGGGACCGACTCGGGACCGACTCGGGACCGACTCGGGACCGACTCGGGACCGACTCGGGACCGACTCATGACTGACTCGAGGCTGACTCGTGATTGACTTGTAATGGAGACGTGATAAACTATCACAAGTGTCTTGAGTACAACACTGCATTGCAGTATGCATGGTTTTTTAAAACTGAGCAATACAACTAACCTAGGCCACTGGCCTAGTGCAACCACTGTCCAAGAACTTGAATTCAATTCAGTCTTACTTTGGTTAATTTGTGTCCTCATCTCCTATCAGCCTGGTGCCCTACAGACAAAAGAGTTCGTCACCGGTCCCTGTCCCTAAGGACAGTAAAGCAGAGGTGGTGGTCGCCAAGATGGACGATCTCATCAATTGGGCCAGAAGGGTATGCAAATGATGTTTTCTTTTCTTAACTGGAGTGACCTTTTGGTCTTGAGCCCAATTCATGAAGCTGCTAAGCACAAAAATTATTTGCTTAGCAAAAACAGGATACCAGCCAAAACGCTACATGTATGTATATCGATTGTGACTTGTTCTCAGATGGCTCTGTGCAAAGTGCACAAATAGTAGTGCTCTTTTTTTTTTTGCTTAACGGGTCCACAAATTTTGGTTCTGGTGCGTCCAACTCCAGATCATGAGTAAAGTCTGGACAGTTTACCCATTCCTATAGGTCGAAAGCCCATCACGTGGTCGCTTTTAAACAGTCGATAAAGATTTGGCTGGCTGGTCTTAAACACTTTCCCAGTGTCACCTGAAATTTGGACCCCTATGAAATCCAGTGCCAGCACCGTTTTATTGGTTAAACATTCAGAATCCTCACGTAGGCATGCGCAATACTACCAGTGAGTCAGTATTTCATAGTCCTAAATTCAAACTACACCGGTACATCTGCGTTCTGCGTGACATCACGCAGTACGGGCGATGTGCGCGCCAATCTCCATAAAAGGAGTTGTTTACCAGAGGGCCCTACCATTTTATTGCTAGAGGGGTGTTTTGTTGAACAAAATCATTAGAAATGTATCATTTTTTACTTTTGTTGACTCTTGTGACCGAAAAGTGTTTTTTTTTTAGACTGAAAAGGTATTTATGAATGTGGATGAACAAGTGCTTGGTCGGTATTAAACACTATGTTTAAGACTGGTTGGAGTCTGGATGCTGATAATTACCCTCGGCTCTGTTAATTATCAGCATCCAGACTCCAACCGGTCTATACCTCCCAATCACAGATTTATTCCCTTATTTATCAAACATGGCACACGTGTGTTTGCTTTCAGAGTTCCCTGTGGCCCATGCTGTTTGGCCTAGCCTGCTGTGCGGTGGAGATGATGCATATGGCAGCACCGCGCTACGACATGGACCGTTTTGGCGTGGTGTTCCGCGCCAGTCCCCGACAGGCGGACGTAATGATCGTTGCCGGCACTCTGACGAACAAGATGGCACCAGCGCTTAGGAAAGTGTACGATCAGATGCCTGAACCAAGATGGGTCATTTCTATGGGAAGGTAATATACCAATTATTTGTTGTATTTGTGATAGAGTAATTTCAACGAAAGAAGAGAACTGACATTTTGTATCCGTAATAATGTTTGAAACCATTTGCTATCGCATATGCTTCATTCGGTGAAAAAAATCATATAGGTACATTTCTTGAATTGAAATGCTTTCAATAATTTCTGTATTCTTTATTTGTTAATTTTTCTTTTGAATATTGTTTCTAACGACAATGAAACTGACCCTTTTTTTCAGCTGTGCCAATGGCGGGGGTTACTACCATTACTCTTACGCTGTCGTCCGAGGCTGCGATAGGATTGTTCCTGTTGATATCTATGTACCAGGTATGATAGGTATCCATGTTTGTATTCATTCAATAATTGATATACTTACAGTATAGAAGACAAAGATATTTGCTGACTGTTCAAATCCAAGGGCAGAGTAATTGCAAAAAATTGTCAACAATTGGACAAATGATATGAAGCCTGTAAATATGTGAATCCTAAATTTACTTACTTTAAAGAACTTCAAATTTGACAAATGGAAATGAGTTGTTTACATTTGGGTATTTTCTTGGACACTATGCAGGTTATTTTGGACACCCTGATAAATCTTTTTTTTCCAATTGCAAGTTTAGATGACCAATTTTCAAATGCTGGGCAAATTTCAGTTTTTACTGCCCTTTCTGTGTTTGAGGTAACTTCCTTCAAGTCTACTTTATTTGAACCGTATTTGGAGAATTTTCTAACCTCCTATTGTTTTCTCAATAATCCAGTCTTAACATAAACCTCTACTCTAGTCTTTGTAGAAATTCCGAATGTGATTTTCTGATTTAACTGCAATTGAATTTAATTCAGTATTTATTCACGTAAAAAACACCCACAAAATTGGAGCTCAATGGCAATTCATCTAAAAAAATATCGAGTGAAATTATCCTGAATATGAATAGAGCCTGTAGCAGTTTCAGATAACAAAAGTTACAGATATTGTTGCTACAGTGAAGAGAACGCAGGGGCACGGATGAGCCGATAATGAACGCCTCTTGACTAGCACAGGTGTATGCAGCTGGCTGCACGTGGTGGCCGGCTGCATGACCATGACAGTCAGACACATCTGCAATGATCTGAGTAGCAAAGGTCAACTCAGCTTGGCATACAGGCTCTTACAGTACACGTAGTCAAGTCAAACCACAACTTAAATCACACCTCGGGTCACAATTAACTTTGGATGAACAACGACCAAGAAATGTCTCTGTCATAGTGCATTTGAATAGCTTGACATTTGATTTTGAGAGTACCAGAGATGACACGTCCATCACAAGTCCATCAGTAGTCCATCAAAAGTCCATCACAAGTCCATCACATGTCCCTCACAAGTCCCTCACAAGTCCCTCACAAGTCCATCACAAGTCCACCATGACTCCATCACAAGTCCATCACGAGTAAATCACAGGTCCAAGGGAATGCTTTTGCCGAAGCTCCTTTGAATAGCTTGCGAGTTGAATAAGGACTGGAGGTCCCGTGATGGACTTAATACAGGGACTTACAAATGTATGATGTACTCGACTACATCCCTGGGATTATAGTGTCTGACTCATGTGCGATGGTACATGGTGCTTGTGTTCTTGGGCAAGACACTTGACCACAATTGCCTCTCTTCATCCAGTAGTATCAAAGGTTACATGCATATTACGCTGATCTCGTGTTGCAGCAGAAAAATGGCCTTGCAGTCTGAAGAACAGGGGTAGTAGTTGTGAAGTGGTCTGAGATATTGGTAGGACATGTAACGACTTGTGAGAAGTTGACGTCGGTTCAGCTCACAGAATGATCGTGTTGTTCAGAAGAAGGTACTTCAAAATGATAAGAGAGTGCTATGTGGTGCCTGGGTGTATGTACGTGGCTCCGGCAATATTGAACCATGCCGTATTTTTTCTCATCATTATGCAGGATGCCCACCTACTGCCGAGGCCCTGCTCTACGGCGTTCTCCAGCTACAGAAGAAAATCAAACGAGCTCAGAACATCACCATGTGGTATCGCAAATAGATTGGTATCCTGTACCGGACCTAACAATCCTTGGCTTTGGTCACAGAAGGAAGTAGCAAGACGCCATCTCATAAAATCTGCTAAGCGAGCCAATTTCAAGGAGCTTGCCTCAGCAGAAATATTGCTAAGCACATTTATGTGCTAAGCAGAAATCTGCCGGGAACCAGTGACAGGCAGTATGAATCCCATGATGATTTGGCTGGTAACCTGTTTTTGCTAAGCGAATATTTTCTGTGCTTAACAAATTTCTGTGCTGGGCTAGTCCATTCACAGTTCACTGAGCTATGAAATTGACCGATAGAATCACGTCAGTGAGCTTGTGAAATATTGTCCAGTTACATGTATGCGCAAAATCTGAGGCAAACAAAACTCAACGTACAAAAGTTCCATAGGGTTGTCCACGGGGCATGGCTAACTCGCAAACGGCGATGGGTCAATTGGGCCCAGGAGAGTCCTATTTAGATAAAGCGGGGCACCAACCAAATTATAGTGTTTAGTGTATTGCGTGTGACTGGTTCTCAGCAATTTTACACTTGGAAAGTTCATCTTTCGTGTTACTATAGGTGTTTTCGAAACTTTTGCTTCGTCCTGGTCTTAAGTTGTCTCCGAATTCTGAATCGCTGAGAGGCAAATTTACCAAGTGAAAATATTCCAACTTTTGGCTTCATATCAACCGATTGAATGTTTCTGAAGCATAACAGGCACCAAAATGAAGCTGGAGTTCCCGGAGTTGGGGCCTCATATCTCCTTAAGCCAAAGACGAAGACAGGGTTTCGAAACGGCCCTCAGTTGATAATAAAATTGACCCAAGCATATTCCTGTTTCCCAGAAATTGATGAGCTACATTGGGACTGTGGGTAGGGCACTTATAATTTTTTTTTTTTTTTTTTAGTCATTATACTTAAAGATTTGTTAGGTCTCGGTTTCAGATACATGTGTGTGTGCAAAGCAGATGATTGTTTTGCATTGTAAATAGATTAAGATATACTTCGTATAAAATAAGATCTTTTGGACGTGCTATTCATATTGCATTTGACTTTCTGTAACATTAGTTAGGAATTCCAAATTTTTAAGGTTTGCCTTTGCCATTGTATGCATTTGATTAAAAAAAACCCCAGAAAACATGTCTGCATGCTCAAATCTCCCGTGTTGACATTTCAGTGCAGTAAAAATGTGTGTAATTTAATTTATTAAAGCTACAGATATCCCTTTGGTTATTAATTTGAACCAAAGCAAGATTTGCTGTGAATTTAGTTCAATGCCCGAAATTCTAATTTCCTTGGCGAGTAACCTTTATTTTCATTTTCAAGAGTGATCTTGTTTTGTTTTGCAAAGGTCTATCCATTCATCAACACTTCCTGTATAATAAAAGAATTGTGTAATTGCATGGTACGATTTGTAAGGGGTGATTTTTTATTTCATTTTAGCATTAAGACATCTGTGTAAGATTTGAGGCTTTGCATGGTGGGGTATCGGTATCGTTTCGGGTTTTGCGGTAACACCATGTGGTAATAACTACTGCTTAGAAGATATTAGTTCTGAGAAGAACTTGTCCTGCTTATTATCAACTTGCTAAGTAGTTTTTTTTTTGTTCTGTTTAGAACAGTCCTGCTGTAAGTTCTAAAAGAACTTGTCTTTGGTCTCAACGTTTCGACTAGCCTGCTCTAGTCATCGTCAGGAGACTGTGACTAGAGCAGGCTAGTCGAAACGTTGAGACCAAAGACAAGTTCTTTTAGAACTTACAGCAGGACTGTTCTAAACAGAACAAAAAAAAAACTACTTAGCAAGTTGATAATAAGCAGGACAAGTTCTTCTCAGAACTAATATCTTCTAAGCAGTAGTTATTACCACATGGTGTTACCGCAAAACCCGAAACGATAAAGACATCTGTGGTTATTATCAAACTTTCAGCAACCTAGGAGTACAATAAATGAGCATTCAATAACAATTTGACTGAAAAATGCTGCGGTTGTGAAGTCGTTAGGCCAAAAAAAAAAAGTCTCCGGTTTCTGGTATGCGCGCGCGTCGCCGTAGCCATGCGCGTCGGCAAAATGAAAAATTTGAAGCACATTTGAAGCAAACAAGTCGGGTAAAAAAAAAAAAAAGCCGCGTCGCCGCACCACTTTTTGGACAAGCTCCATACCAGAAACTTTTTTTTTTTGGCCTTAGTTGGTCTTGTGCATGCAGAAACATTTGAAGCAAGATATGTGAGGTAGGAGAACCCCTTTTGTGTTGGTTATTGTGTTTCCTGAATTCTTTTGAGATATGGGAGTGCATTAGGCAACGATAGTCTAGAGTGTGTATAGGGACACTGGGGGTACCCCTTTGTCTCAAATCATGCACGGCATATGCAGAAAGTGATTTCTGCTCTATCCGTTGATTACAATTTAAAAAACTCTGAATTAGATTTTGGCAAATTTTCTCATTTCGTCAGGGCAGGTCTGAAATTGTCTTGAACACTAAAATAAGAAGCAAATACACAATGCGGTACTTGTCAATAAAAAGGCTCTTGTGGCCCATTTTATTAATCTTTTTCGTCATCATCATCATCATCATCGCTAATTACAAAGTCCAACAGCCCTAAACACCAATCATCTCTGCATCCACGGCGGGTCTACTTGAGTGGGATGAATCGAGAGGAATGGGTGGCACCGATACCGGGTCGGCCGTGCTTGACTGGCTTGTAGGTGATGCTGAACTCTCCTAGGTAGTGGCCGATCATGTCAGGCTAGGGGAGAAAAGAAAAAATACTAACGTATTAATGTCCGTGTCAGGGGGGGGGGGGGGGGAGACATTTTATGTTCCGATCTGATTTTACCCAGGGTAAACAAGTATAAATAAACAAACAATCTAAGGACGGCCTGAGCAGGAATGTAGAGAAATTTACAACATTACTGTAGCAGCCCTTATTACAACATTACTGTAGCAGTAAATCATTAAAGCGCTTCATATTTAGGTATCCATGTAGCGATTTTACCAAATATTTCAATGTAGCCTATGTTTTGAAAATAAAACTCTCGGAATCCCAAACCCTGCTTTTTAATATCTGACATCACCAGCACATGATTTATTTTGTGCCACGCCTTAATGTGTGGAGTGATGTTTAGCAGACAATTTTTTTACCAATTCAATGAAAATCGATGTAGTGTACATGCAATATGTCAACTTTTTGACTTGAGGAAAGGAAAAATCTTTGATCTCCATTAATCGTGCCTAGGAAAAAGAAGTCATTCACAGAAGGAAATTTGGAATACGACCAAGACTTCAAAAGCTCTCCCAAATTGAGCTATGAAGTGTATGAAGCAAGAATGTCTCTACAAGTGTACTAAACTTCAGAATAACTGGATTTCCGAGATCAAAGGGTGAGAAAGGAAGGGTCGGTTGCCGCAGAATATACCTCCTCACTGTCAGATGGCTAAAACAAAAATCACGCCATTCTATCTTTAAAATTTTTTTACATTTGAACATTACAAAACTAAACGGACAGTTACAGCCCTGAACATGACCCACCTTGACCTCCACCTGGTTGAAGGTCTTGCCCTGGTACACGCCCACGATGCTGCCCACCATCTCCGGCACGATGATCATGTTCCTGAGATGGGTCTTGACCACCTCGGGTTTCTCCATCGGGGGAGCCTCCTTCTTGGCCTTGCGGAGCTTCTTGATGAGGGCCATGGGCTTGCGCTTCAGGCCACGGTTGTACTTACGGCGGGCCCGGCAGCAAAACAGCTCCATCAGCTGCTCGCTGTTTGTGAAGAAAAAAAAGGAGTTTTCTTATTGTCGATACTTTCCGTAAGATCTTTCAAGAACCACCGGGTGGTTTTGGAGTATTTTGGATAAGCTTGAGCAAGTCCATTTTGGAATAAAAAAGAATTCCGACCTTAGAATTTGCAATTTTGGCTCGACATTTTTGTCCCTCAAAGAATGAATTCCAGACACTTCTAGTACATGATAAATGATCAGGTTTGAAAGGGAAAACCACCATAAATGACCTTGCATAAACTAATCCAGTGCTACAGTTCATTAAGGACATTATGGAGGTTTTCCCAATTTCTACATTTTTTTTTCTCCATCTGGGTAAATTTTGAAGTTGATTCAGAATCCATTCCAAAAATGATAAAGTCGCCTGAGCCAAATTTTGAAACAAATAAGCAAGGTAGACTTTTGCCCATTGTTGCTTTTACATGTGTAAAGTCTGTAAGGCCAAGTAAAAAAACAGAACCAGTTTCACGTCCAGCTTTTTAAAAAAAATGACAGAGGCGGGCGCTTTTCTTCCTCTTTTTTTCCCCCTGAAATCATCTTTCCCCACAATCGTCTTAGACGACGGCTGGATTCTTCCATTTTCTCGACTTTTTTTTTTTTTCTGATAGAAAATTGTGTCCAAAGGAGCCGTGACCCTTTCTACATAACTACACTTTTGTTGGAAACAAATACAAAGAGAATATATAGGCAATATATTTTCAAAATACACTGCAAATTTATGAATTAAAAAGAAAAGGGGAAAAAAAGGGAGAGTAGGGAAAAGGAAGCGACAGGTACAAGAAACTTGTTTACTTGTTTTCTTGGCCTAACCCATGGACTAGCAACTCACTTGTTCATGTCCAGTAGCTGTTCCAGGTCCACACCTCGGTAGGTGTACTTCCTGAAGGTACGCTTCTTCTTAACCTCACCTTGAGCGGCGTCAGCCTGCAAAGACAGCAGAAATAAGTCATGGTTTAACAAATTGACAAACAAAACAGGTCCACATACTGGACAGGCCCCATATCCTTGGCCCCACTTCTACCCGTGTAGGCACGTTACGTCCCAATTATGGCGATTGTGTAGTGTAGGGTCCATCTTTAGTTTTGATCAAATTAGAGTCCAGGGTGTTTTTTTATCATTCCAAAATGACTTTTTCAATGTCTATGACATCATTATTTGTAATTTTGTTTAGTTAGACAAATGCAATTTTTCTTACACGTTTTACGGTTGGTGCCATGCGAATCGACGTAATTTTTCATGTGACACTGTGATTGCCAGCTTTATTTTTATTTCACCAGAAGGAAGCACGGGGAAGTCCTAATTTTTGACAAAAGTTGGGATGCCTGGGTAAGTGAACCCACATGCCAAGTATGAGCCGGAAGGATTTCCATGAATTTTAAATTTTTTTTTATCAATAACCGACCTTTTGGGCTGACGTATGTATGGCCCTAACTTAAGCACAGAGTCTACTCCATTGCAGGGCCAAAAATAGGGCTGACCAAGAGCCAAAGACCCTGAAGTTGAATACTTGTAGGCCTAATACTAGGTCAGGGAACGTTACCAGACGGTTGACTAAAAGTTAAACCACTGCACGTAGATGGTGATCACTGCGATGCACCGTGATTCACCCTGAACATGCTGAATCATAGTGAAAGTGCAAAACCACATTGACATTGATTCGCATGGCACCAAATGATCAACTAATAAGACAACTGCATTTTCTACCAAAAGATAGGCCAACTGTTCCAAATATAACCAAATAAGAATAAGATCCCAAGGATTAGGCTTAAAACGAAAAGACTGCTTAAGGTTGGATGCAGAAGTCATTCTGGAATGACAAAAACACTCCGCCTAGCCTCCGGATCATTTTTGGATATCAGCTCTACACGTACATTGTACACATCTCATTAGTAATTTCCGACACAAGTTTACATCCAAATATGTATAAAAAAATGCAGGTTAGGTTAAAATAATGAGCAGATGTTCAACAGAAACATCTTAATTTTCAATTTAACTGAAAAGAGCAAGTGGATGTCGATTATAAATATGAGATTTTATGTGGATTTTAATGTTTTTATTCTTCCATACCATCTTGTATCGAGAGTATACAGCAAAAGGCCAAATAAGACGCCCTCTGTTGACGCTTTTTTTTATTGAGGGCGCGCGCCTAGTCATCATGCGGCCGATCGCAATGCACTGTCCAAAACTTTTTGACAAATTTACAAAAAAAGTATTAACCTGAACTTTTTTTCGGGGACCATTTGTTGCCGAACTTGCGCCCAGAGTGACAGTACAATCATACCGAAGTGTTTGTCAGTATTATTATAATTTCTGTAAATTCAAAAGTCACCCGCGAAATCAAATCAGGCAGGATACGCCTTCTGAAACGAAAATCAACGGGGAAATTAAGTCACCGTGTTTCTTTCCGATGTTTGTTTTATAAAAAATGATATGACCATGAAAACTGTCTTTTTGTTTAATTCTTGAGCACCAAAAGGCATGTGCATAGCGCTCTTAGAAAGTTGAACCTGCGACCTCTCGAACGCCGGTGACTGACAGGATTAGGACTGGCATGGTGTTCAACCAATTGAAGAGTACTGAAGGCAAACTGTGCGAAATATCTCGGTTGGAAGAGCGCCGTTTTGGAGATCTGGAGATCGCAAGTTCAACTTCCCGCCCTGGTCACTTTTCTCTGTTCACTTTAAAAATACACATTTTAAAAGAAAAAAACAAGTGCGGCTGCGTGCACAAAAAGCTCTGGCCGTCTTGCATGAAAGTCCTGCATGAAATAATACAATTACTCACTTGGTCGTGATTGTCATTTGAAATCTCCTAAGTTGTTGAAAGTCACAGTCATGTCACAATGCAAAATAAAACTGTGACCTTCATAATGCAACTGCATCCCCACTCCTACGCCCTGGAGACTCATTAAACTGACACAGGGCCAGAGGCAGGGGTGATGTTTAGTGACAGGTGTGTAGAAGCATGGTAGAATCACCCTAAATTCCCAAGTTCGTAGCGCACAAAAATACCACGTGACTACAATATTACCACACATTATCTTGCCTCTATTCAAAAAAATTCATAAACAATGTCATGAATTGTTACAAACAATTTTTGTCAAATATTTAATGTATTTAATGTATTTTTTTTGGGGGGGGGGGACAGTTACAATTTGGTACTTACATTACAGTTTACTTTTATGGGTGAGTTAGTTTTTTGGGGGACCGGCCGACCGACCGACCGACCGACCGACCGACACCCGGGTGACTTGCACAAGCTCTGTTTAAGTTGCCAGAGCTTAAAAATCAAAAGCGGCCAGTGGGCGTTTGTTATAAATCTTGTCTATACATATGGCCTAGTAATAGTGCGCCTGAGTATCGCAAACTGAAACTGCAACACCCGTTTTTCATAAACAGCGACCTCTCTAGACCACAAATAGCCAGTTCAAAATGCGGATTGATATCAGATTTTCTAATTAATTAAACAAAATGAGAGAAATAATCTCACTAGTATTAAAAATATACATTTGCAAGTGAAACATTTTCATCAAATACTTATTAGAAAATTGAATTTATTATTTAAATGATACAAAGCTGGATTCCAGAATTTAGCGATGTTTTGGAAGTGACATAGTCGGGCTCAGCTAGGGCGTGATTGTTGGGTGTGATTCGTCCTGTTGATTTCCAACGTGATATCGACATGCATGATCGATTTCCCAACCTACGTTATGTGTAATACGGATATGCATGGATAAATGTCATTAGAAAATGTACACAAATGGATGACTGAACTAAAGTGGTCATTACGGAGAAATTGCTGCAGCCGAAAATGTGCATTGCGATAGAGTAACACGTGTGAACAACATTTTGCTTCGAGAGCCATCGGAAAATAGAGAGAAAATTTCGACGAGAGCCCAAAACGTGAGTTAATGATGAAATTTGTGTGGTGAATTTGTCAATGTTTTTGTTTAAAAATGAGTCGGCGATCATAATCGTGACAATGTAATGTGTGTATACTCCGTAAGTAGGATGCCAACGTTGACTAACTTAGGACAACTCGCCCCTGCTATAGACACGAGTTCACAAGCATAATGAAGCATGCCTAGTCGAAAAGCATTCTTAATCTTATTGCCTGGATCGTAATTCGTATGCAGTGCAGTGGCGAGCATGGTGAGAGGCGGAATTTTCTTCTCGAGTTCACGCCTTGACAAAAATACTAGCGAGTAGGGCCTAGCTAGCTTGAGTAACTCCAGCTGACATGCTCCATATTCATTCACATGTAAATGAATATGGAGCATGTCAGCTGGAGTTACTCAAGCTAGCGAGTAGCGGGGTCATGCATTTTAATTTTTATCAAGAATATTAAAGGCCTGTGTACACGTGTACGTGTATTAGAATGCAGCCCACTGCACTGGGGAGGGGGGGGGGGGAATGATTATAGGCCAATAACATGATTATGACTATAGGGCCTACATGTTGTATCTGTCTAATAACATAATGATGGCCTATAATTTCATTTGGTGGTAGCTGCCGCCAAGCACATCAATTTTCACCTCACCTTGTGATTTCATTGAAGACAAATCCATGAGGCTTCGGCAATGCGAATTCCTGTTTTATGAAAAATGTGTTTTTAGACACATTTTATATCTTAGAGCTCATTTTAAGTGCACACATCTGTGTTATTATATCTTAGAGCTCATTTTAAGTGCACACATCTGTTCGGACAGCAGACGGTCTAGGCAGCCATTTTTACAATGACTGAATAGTTTGGAAGTCTGCGGTGCACATGACAACGCACAAACCAATAACACTGCAATACGTCATGTGGAATATGTGGAAAATTTATTTAGTTTATTAAATATTCAATAGTCTTATTTCAATGGATACATGTATCCAAAGACAATCTACACCAACAAGCGCTCGTGCGGCCTAGCGGTTAAGGCTGGTGTGTTTATAATGAACACAGTCCGAGGTTCAATTCCCCATGGATCTCTGTGAAGTAAGCAAGTGATTAACCCTAACATCCCTAAATCCATCAAAATCCATATCCCTGTTTTGGAGTAAAAACACGAGTTGCCAGACGCGACCGCAAATTGGAATGAAAGCAGGACGACTTGGAAGCGCAAAAGTTTTTGATTGACGTGTGTTCTCAGCAACGCGTGTTCTTTTTGCCCTGTGAACACGATGGCGCATATTACCGTGAAAGTGCTAATTTATATCGAGTGATGCATGGAATTTGAAAAGGGCTTACTTTTTTTGCCAATATAAAAGTGCTTGTTAATGTTACACTTGACTTTTTTCATTAGTCTGCTGTTGTGGCATTAGTAATTTTGTTGGGAATATTTTCAGTCCACAAGTAAAAATATATACAAAGTGGCCTAAATAAAAAAAATTGAAAATTTTAAGTATTGTTTTTTTCATTGTACTATTTATTATTATTTGTAAGGTGATCATCAGTGTGGCTTCGAACTGGTGAAATGAGAATTAAGACTGCAGCCTTAATTTATTATTTATTATATTTAGTTGTTATGATTTATTATTCTTTTTCCCAGTGGCCATAACATTTTTCCTGCTTTTTGGAAGACAAAACGTCACCAAAACGCTGTTTTTTTTAAGGACAGAATATTGGTACCTGAAGCCACTTTTTTACTTCATATCATCTCAATAAAGGTCAGTCATTGCAAAAATGTTGAAAAGACATGAATCTGGGACTGAGAAACATTTCCAATTTTGTTAGGAAGTACTTAAAAAAAAATTCTTGACTCTCCATAAACTCTTTCCATTCTTTATGTCAAACCTTATTATTTTGGGAAAATTCATTCATAGTCTTTATTAGTCTTTATTAGAGTAACCAGAAGTTACAACTGTATTCAACCTGCATATTGTTGGGAAGCATTGTAAATTACAAGGAAATCTGCAAATTTGTCTTTTTATTATTGCCAACTTTTAATTTGCCGAAGTCCTCAGGCACAGTGCGGCGTGTGCTGTTAATTTCATTGCTTCTTTGCTCTCTGTAATTTTGTGTAGCATGTGTTTTTCGGTACCTGCAGATTCACTACACAAACACACTGCTCTCAACTACCTGTGGATATTTTCTCTCTTGAATTAGGTAAAAAAGAGAGAAACTGTTTAAGACATGCAGTGTTCCCCTTCAGGGCATTCGGAGAGATAATACAATCAACCGTCCAGTCCGGATGCAGTTGGCGCTTAATTCAACACGGTGAAGAATTTAACACAAAAACACTTCGTGTGCCATTATCCATTTTCTGTTCAGTCGGTATTGTGTTAAAGTCTTAAAATCTTGGTTTGGCTCCAGTTTCTGCGTGGTTCTCCCGTTGTGAATGTAAAAAAATTGGTGAAGTCTTTTTTCTAAGGTGATTTTAATGATTCACAGTAAATTTAATGTCCAGTTTGCACCAATTTCATGGAGATCTGTTTAGCACTATACATTTGCAAAGCACAAAAAAATTCAAATTAATCAGTCAACATTTCATGAGATTTATATTGCATGTGACTGGTTCGCCGCCAATTTTTGATTCGCATATGAATTTGCTATAAAAGCGATATATTTCTTGCTTGGTACATGTACATTAGCTCCACGAAATTGGGACCTGATCAGTTTAAGGATGCCCAATATTCTTGCAGTTGTTGCAAAAGCATTGCACATTGCCTTTCAAATGATACACGTGTACATTTTTGCGTCAATGGATACCATTTTGTGCATGTTGTCATCATATGACAAAGGGTTCGTATTTCCCCCTAATAGATGACTGTCACCCATTATATTGATGAGGACACCAGCTCAACAGTGACTCATCTAATTCTGAGTGACCTTTGACCTTTGCTGACACCCCCCCCCCCCAGCTTAATGCGTGCAACTACATGTAGACTGTAATTACATGTGGGTGGATATAACTAAATCAATTAAACACACAAAGGTGTATAATCCTATGCATGAGTTGGCCCGGCCAATTGGCCTGGGTCGGACAGATGTTGGTACAATGGGGAACAAAAGGGTCACAATTCTTTCTTGGTCTAGCTTTTTCTGGTTAAGCCTTTGTGTCTTGATGAATGTTGGTTTTTGAAACATTGTGTTTGTCAGCTGTTGAGTTGAATGGGAAATTCACAGTCAAAAGATTTTTACACCTGTCATCAATTATAATAATTGTTTCCTGTTGTCACATACAAATTGTATGTTGGTGAAGACTACCAGTAGATATGAAACAGAGATGCCACTTTTCAGGTTTTAACCTGAATTCAGGTTTTTTTTCATAAAATGTGACAAATTAAAAGTGCTTGATTTGGTCTGAAACATCCAGAAAACACATTTTTGAAAGGGGGCAAGGGTAGTTTCAGGTTTTTTAGTAGTGTTTCAGGCTTTTTATTGATATATTGGTGGCATCTCTGATGAAAAGACATTGGATATTTTAAGTAACATCCAAACCACACAATTGGAGCTTTCAGACATTGGATCAGTTTGATTGTTATCACATTCCCAACCCTTCATCCAAGACAATTATCATTTTTCCTTGTAAGTTGTGCCTTTTTTTACCCTTTAGAATCTTCCCATCCTTCAAAATACACCTGGAGCTTGTGAGAGATTTTCTTGAATTTGAGAGGGTAAAAGCCGAGTCATTGATAATGATACGTTCTCTTACGTGTGGGGATTGATGCTCATTGAAAGTTGGTTTCCTAGCTGCACAGAAGAAGCCAAGTGAACTCGCCAAGCTTACTTAGGCATGGTGCCTCCCCTCACCAAACTGTGGCTGTAAATATTGAGAAATCTCCCAATTTGACAAAAAAAATGATGCAACTCTCTTTAAATTTTGTATGCCATACAAAAAAGTATTCATTGTAGCTTTCCCCACCCTTATACTTATAGAAAGATCCTCTGTCATTAACTTTGTCTAAAAACCATCAATTTAAATTTCTCCCATCATGAATGAAAATCCATGTGAGACCTCAGACTATACAGAATTGTGCTGGATTCGGGACATTCTGTAGGCACATATTTCCGGAGTTATGTATAATGTACTGGTAACGTTAATATGTGAATTTTTTGCAGATTATAAGTGAAATTCCATAGACTGTACATGTACACTGGTACATGCAGTACATAACAGTTGTTATTGACCTTGTCCTCACAGGACGGCTACAGATAGCCAGCTCCAGATCTGTACACAGGTGATGTCTTTCCCAAACACCAGACCATGGAGCTACGAACAGACCAGACCAAAACAAAATGTGTTTTTTTGATTGCATGCACCTCCATAGTTTAACACTAGCAGCGGTGACTCCATGGGAACACTGTGGTGACTGTATGCCTTGGCATGGCCATGATGTACATTACATGTGTATGTGACCCTGTTATTGTGACTGACCTACATCCAACCTAGAGATTGTCACCTACATTGCACGTGTAAGGTCAGGGCATGTTCCCATACCTTGGAATTTTGGGATCTTCTATCCCAGACCCTGAACCTAAAATGTTGAAATAAGGAGGAGGGGGGGGGGGAGGGAGGAATTGGAGTTTGGACATTTCTAACCTTTTATCATGTTTGTAATTCCCAGAGTTACTTAGGCAAATTGGCATTATTTTGAAAAAAAAATTACAAATAAAATCCTTCATCATTTTAATCCATTGTAACCGCAAAATACCGTGTCTGCCTTTTACCGTGTCAGCAGAATTTAAAGTGTCCATGAATGATTTTTTCTTAGGAACACATTTGTGCAACTTTTCTACTCCTCTTAAATGTTTGAAAACTATTTGACATGTCCTTTTTGGTTAATTTTATTCAAAAGTGAACTTCTTTAAACATTTTAAATTTTCCATACTTCTCAGGACAACTGAGGGCGCTGTTGCTGTGATGTCATTTCAGGAAGACAAGTACTGTTCAGTTTAGGGCTTTTCTGTTCTAATG